GAGAGTGTCAGTGCCGTACGGGAAAACCAATGTCAAGAGCAATTGAGAGAACAGAAATGAGAATTGAGAATGAAAGAAAGCTTGATTGCATTAATGAAAGCTATTACAGAAAAGCAACTCGGTGTCGAGGGGGAGAGACACCAGTACAGAGAATTGTTTGCTTACTAGAAAGTTTGATTGCTTGATCCCCCCTAATAATGCTAAAAAAAATAATCCAAAGCTACAAGACTAGACTTGACTACGCTAGAAAAACATAATAGAATTACATGAAATAAAACTACTCTATATTTACAATGAAAAGGACTTAGTTTTCTATAAGGCAACAACATGTCCGTTGTCAGCAGCATTGTCTTTGGCATCACGGTCTGCGCGCGCGGCGCTGTTGGCATCTGCCTGCGGCTTGGCGCTGGCGAGGGATATCGGTGGGGCGACAGAGGCATCTGCGCGCTTGTCACTTGGCGCGGCCAAGACCACGGGGCCGTCCGTGGCGCTAGGCATTGAGAGGCTTGCTAGGACGCCACGGGGCGCGCCCAAGGGGTAATGGGGCATGGCTGGAAAGCCGCCCATGACAAACTTACGTAATTATTTATAATTTATTTTTAAATAATCTGATAAACATACTTATGGCAATCATCCCATGAACTGAAGTTTCATAGCAGCACCAACAGTAGCAGAAGAAGAAGAACAAGACAACGAAGGAGGAGAAGGAGGAGGAGAAAGGAGGCTGAAGTTGTTTAAAAAGTGGGTACAAGTTAAAACTTTTTAAAAAAATGAGTTTGGTTGCCCCGTGCAATTTTTACTTTATTAACACTTAAAGGCATTATTTTAAAATTCACAACCCACAAATTTAAAATTTTAGCCCCTCCTCTAATAGTCTAATTTTTCGGTATGATGTTCAAAATGTTAACCGTATGGCCTATTGAAAGTGGTCTGAACTCAACTTGGGCTTTTGACGTTTTCACCATTGATGGTTAATAAGCGATGTTGGTTGAAAATATGACCACAAAGTTTGAGGGTAGGGCACCCAAACTCTATCCACAAAGAGGACTCATACTCAATTATTCTATCCTTATTTTCTTGGGATTTTGGACGCAAAATTTGATGCAAAAAAAGAAGGGAAAAGTTATGTACCAATAAAGGTAACATTTATCGATACTTTTCGTAATTACACGAAATAAACTAGGTAAGGAGTAATATTATGCTAAAGGCAAAACAGAAAGTACTAAATTGGTTAAGACTTGTTATCTTCCAAAAGTTACATAGACCATTTTGCACAAATAAAAGCACTTGCTGGTTGCATTTCAAGAATATCATTTTTTTTTTTTTTTTTGTGTATGATTCTTTTCAATGAAGAACGAAAATATTCCTTTGAAGCAAGAACTTGGCGACAATGGTATATACAGAATTTAATACAAGAAATTAAATCAAGAAGCTCTTGAACAGAGTGGCCATTATTGTTTATTGATCCTCTCCACTTGCAAACCATAAATGACAAGCCTTCTTTAAGACAAATATATTTATATATACATCTCTTTTACATATTGGTTGATAGTTTGATATTTACACTTCTTTTTTTAAGAAAGTTTCGAGTTATTTTTTTTCTTAGGGTGATAGAATGTTAGATATGGAACTATTATTTGGGAGAAAATGAATTCGAAATTTTAAAGTCTAGTCAATTCATAAAGGAAAAGTAATACGACCAATTATGTATATATTTTTAGTAAAAAAAATTGGACCATCAGTAAAGCACCACATAACTTGACTAGCGATTATGACACTAAAATACGTCTAGTCTTCATCTGTATATTTGTAAGGACATCGAAAAGGGAAGCAAAGTAAATTTCATCCTTTATTTACTCTTTTTAAAGAAATTCAATTCTATAGCTTAGAAAAACTATGTTTACAATTTAATTGCGTAAATTTTCAAACATCTTTTGTTCTGATGACAAATGAAAAGAAAGCTAGCTAGTTTGTTTCAATATTTGATCAAAAAATATTTTTTTTAATTTTAATCTTTAAGTACTATTCAGATTTCGACATTCTAAATAATTTTTGGTTATTTCAAAACTAAGAAAGAATCTGACATCATAACGCTGGCTTGTTTGGAGAAAAGGCACCATGCAAAATGTGAGATCAAGTTAATGTCTTATTTTTTAAGAATAAAGCAGTTTTGGTTGGTCCAATTTTGGAGTTATTCCAATAATTTGATGGAGGTGTTCATATTGGGATACAAAATCAACCAGTCAATGTGTAATATAACCATCCTTAAGGTTTCTTAGTATTTGTTTCTCTTGCATTTTTTGAAAAAGATGGGAGGGGAAATTTTATTATTATTTTTCAACCAATCATGCTAGCAAGTTGATGCAAAATTATTTATTAATCCTATTACTATTAAGTTGTAATTCATTTTTTTAAAAAAAATTCTTATGTCCTGCTGATGATACTTGGTCTAATTTATTGTCACTACCCGAAATTTTCCACCGTCGGGACCGTGATAACGCCTAACATTTCACTTGCTAGACAAGCCAATGTTAGAACAATTTATTCCTTTTAACAGTTTAAGTAATAACAATAAGGAAAAACTGAAATAACTAAAATAATTTAAGCGAATATGCGGACTACTAATATCTTGGAAAAATCGCCTCTAGGTCTTCTAGTTTTGAAATTTTGAAATAATGGCCAAAAATCCCGTAATGGGAGTGTTTAAGAGCTGGGCGACAGTGTTCATCGTGTTCGCGTGAACACTGTCGCGTTCGAGAAGAGCAGGGCCTGAGTGGACTATGCGATCGCGAGTAACTGAACGCGTTCGCGAAAATCTATCCCCCCTGACCTTCGCGTTCGCGAGACGGGGTTCGCGTTCGCGTGGAGTTACTTCATTTCCCCTACCTAGCCTAGCTAAAGCTACGCGTTCGCGTGAGACGGGTCGCGTTTGCGTAGATCAATCCGCCCAATGTTTCGCGTTCGCGACCATAGTCCCACGTTCGCGTAAAGTAAAATTCTCCCCCAACCCAGATCCCCTTCGCGATCACGAGAATGGCTTCGCGATCGCGAAACATAATGCATCAGAACACCAGCTGCATCAAACACACCAGATTTTCTAATTTCAAAACATCTCGTAGCCTATCCGAAATTCACCCGAGCCCTTGAGGCTCCAAACCAAACATGCACACAAGTCCTAAAACATCATACGAACTTGCTCCCGCGATCAAATCGCCAAAAATAACACCTAGAACTACGAATTGAAGACCAAATCAAATGAAATTTTCAAGAAAGCTTTAAAACTTCTATTTTCACAACCGGGCGTCCGAATTACGTCAAATGAACTCCGTTTCTCACCAAATTTCACAGACAAATTTAAATATCATAATGAACTTGTACCGGCCTCCGGAACCAAAATACGGACCCGATACCAACAAGATAAAACATTAACCAAATTCTTAAAACCATTCGATTTTCAGTCTTTCAATTTTCAACAAAAATTCATTTTTCGAGCTAGGGACCTTGGAATTCGATTCCGGACATACGCCCAGGTCCCATATTTCATTACGGACCCACTGAGACCGTCAAACACGGGTCCGAGTCCGTTCACTCGAAAAGTTGACCGAAGTCAACTAAAATCAACTTTTAAGGCAAAAATTATTATTTTCTTCAACTTTCAACATAAAAGCTTTTCGGAAACATGCCTGGACTGCGCATGCAAATCGAGGAGGGTAAAATGAGATTTTTAAGGCTTAAGAACGCAGAATCGTGTTCTAAAACATAGGATGACCATTTGGGTCATCACATTTATAATGACTAATTTTTTATACAAATAGCCGGCTAGTTTTATTTTGTACTTTTTTGAGTCGATATATATAGATTATACACTAGTTATACATGGTTATACGCATGTTATATATAGATTATACATACATTATTTATTTTTTGTTTATTTTTAGTTTAAGTAATTGAGTGAGCTGCTATTTAAGTTAATATAACGTTGATCCGATATACTGATTAGTGGACTTCTTCGGGAAATAGACAAAGAGTGCATACGTGCACATAAGAATGATAAATAAATAAATTAAAATGGAGTAGAAGTAACATATCAAAGGTAATAATCTCTGGTGTCCAGTTCCAAATGAGAGGGAGCAAAGTAAAATGACTCATAGAATAGAAGGGCCAAAAAAAGTTAAATTGTAAGTTTAACTTTTACATAGACTTTTGAAGGACCATTTGGCCGAGGTCTTAAAGTACTATGAACTTCTAGGAAAGAGATTTTAGTGTAAAAGGAAGTGCAAAATAATTTCTGAGTTGTGTTTTATCCCAATGAGAGTGACTGAGTGAGTTATCATAATTAGGTCAGTTACAGCCATTAGTACGCCGGAATTTAAGTCTAATCATTTCATGTAAATGTAAAATCTAAAAATTTAGGCTTTGTGGGGGACGGCGTAAGAGTTTTGTACTATCAACAACATTGATTAATGAGTTTAAATTTTATGTACTACTGATAAGAAAAAAATTAAATCACGTATAGGATATTTATTAGAATATCTTTATGATAAGCATTATAAGAAGAATAATTAATATTGTATGATTTCTTAACTATATTGATCATAAAATAATTCTTTTACTATTAGTACATACAACTTAAATCCGTAACATTTAATTCAAGGTGAATAGGTTTGGTTAGAAAGGTAGTTGTTAAGGGACAAATACACGTTAAAAGCTTACACTAAAATTTCCTTTTCTTTCCCAAAAGAAAGCTAGGGCTAAAGACAAAAAAGAAAGGAGTAAAAAGGTAGCAAAGCCCCAAAACTTCATTTACTTCCCTTTTTTCCTCATCTTTTCCTCTCTTTTCTCATCTTACCCCCACGTCCACAAAAGGAACAATCTCCTCACCTCCCCCCTCTGGCTACCCCCTACCTAGACCCCCCCCCCCCCCCCCCCACAAACCCCCAACTTTAGCCTCTCAAAGTGTCATTTTCTCACATATACTTCACACAAAAGAAACAACCATTCACTTCATATACCTTGTCATTTCTCCTCCACTCTCTCTCTCTCTCTCTCACTCAATCTCAAATCCTCCTTACAACTCTTACCTTCTTATTTTGATCATCAAACCCCATCTTAAGAAAACCTCAAATTTTCTCTTTCTCTTCTCTCTCCATCTCCTTTTTTAACCTGAAAATTTAGCTTCTCCCATATATTATCATCAATCTTTCTCAAACAAGGACCTTCTAGATATAGTCCTTTTCTTTAACCTACTTACAAACACAAGAACAAACTAAAAGACCTAGGGCCAACAAATAGAAGAAGTGAGAAAGGGAGACAAACTAATTGTGGCTAGCTGTTCTTGTAGTTTTCTTTTGATCAAGGATATATGGAGCTATTCCCAGCACAACCAGACTTATCTTTACAAATCAGCCCTCCAAACAGCAAACCATCATCAACTAATTGGAAGAGGAGTAGTAATAAAAGTACTACTGAAGATGAAAAGGATTTAATGTTCTGGAGAAGAGCTTTGGAATCAAGAAACTCCAATACCTCTTCACTCTCAAAACCTCATAATAATAATAATAATAATAATAATAATAATAATAATAATAATAATAATAATAATACTTCTCTATTTGAGCTTTCTTTATCCAATCCTAAACCTACTCCTGAATTTAAATCTGGCCCTTTTCATCACATCCAAAACACTCACAACAATTTCATCCACTCTTTACAGCAAAACCAAGGGCTTAACTCAGAACTTTGTTTTTTGAGACCTATAAGAGGAATTCCTGTATACCATCAAAACCCTCCTCCTCCTCCTCCTACTTCACACTACCCAATATTTGGTCAGCAAACTTTTGACAATACTAGTACTGCAGCTACATTACCTATACGTTCTTCTGGTTGTTGTATTAATAATAACAATAACAAAACAATGTCTAATTCCTCATCGTCAAGAATCCCTTTTCACACGTCCCAGCAATATCATCATCAAGCTGGGGTAATGCGATCAAGATTTTTGTCAAGATTTCCAGCTAAACGTACTATGAGAGCTCCGCGAATGCGGTGGACTAGCAGTCTTCATGCCAGATTTGTTCATGCTGTTGAGCTCTTGGGTGGCCACGAAAGTAAGACTTCTCTTCTTCTCTTATACATTCATTAATTGATTGCAGTGCTTGGTGCTGCTGCTTTCCTTTTCGTCTCTCATGAGCTGAGAGTGTATCGGAAACAACCTTTCTACCCTTTTTCAGACCCCCTGTGGGATTACACAGAGATTGCTGTTGTTATTGTATTAATTGATTGCAGTCAGATTTGGTGTTGGTTTAATTTAATGGGTTCAACGGAACGTATTGCCTTTATATATAAGATTAGTGATAACATGAACTTAATTAATGTTTTGAAATTTAGGAGCAACACCCAAGTCGGTTCTGGAGCTTATGGATGTGAAAGATCTCACTTTGGCACATGTTAAATCTCATTTACAGGTAAATTTCGTAGACCACTTAATTTTAGCATATATCTCTAAGGTTGTTTGGTTTTAAAATTTCAATGTGCGTTAAGAAGCTGTGGGGTGAAAATCTTTTGGAGTATTCGCAAAAGGCTATACTTTCATTAGACTTCGTAGAAAGAAGTCTATATTAACACCTACAGACATTTCAAATTCCAATGCCTTCTTTTACTAAAACTACAAATTTCTAGTATTTCACTAAGTCCTTAGAACTTCTTTTTTCAAACTAGTAGATCTGATGGTCCTGCAAGGCTATAATGCAGCTTTTTTGCGTTGGGGAATGAAACACTAATCCATTTAGGTTGTAGCAGTACGAGTTGTAGTAGAAGAACAGTAAAGAAACAAAGCAAAAGCGTCAGGGTTCAATAACAGAGGGGAGAGAAAGAGAAAGTCTTATTCATAATGATTCATCAATAATAATATCACGAGCTAAGGGAAAACCAGACAAATTAAAACCCCATAGATATGACGTGGGGATGGGGGTTGGTGGGGGTGGCGGGAGGGGTTTGCAGCTTTGAGCAGACAAGTTTAGACACTCTCATTGCTAATCCTGCTACTAGTATTTTGAACCACCAATAAATTACTGTTATTTTTCTATCTCTAATAAGGAAGTACAAACGCTATCATGTCTCAATGATATCCCATCTTTAGGGAATTTACACATTGCACTCTTCAATAACCATGTTTATATATGGGGTGTGTAAATATATTTTTCTATTATCACAACAAAAATTAGCGACGGATAAATTTTATAGCTCAATAAAAAAATCGGCCCCTAATCCTATTTAGCGACATATTAACAACAAATTATCAAGAAATCCTATTAGCCACGAGCGATTTTGCAATAAATCTTTTTTTATATATATAATTTATGCCTTGCGGAGGCGTGATCCTTCAGCGACAAAGTTCGTAGTTAATTTCACTTTTTGTTTGCAGTTTATGCATATGCTTGAAGTATGTATAACCATGAAGTATTGTGGCGGAATAGTTAAAATCTCTTTTATCTTTAATTAGAGTATCTTTTGTTAGCCTTGAAAATATATTTTATTCAATAGTGAGCATTTTATCCAATTTAGTGACTTCATCTGGCGTGAATCTAAATTAGTCGGTCCAGTGAATTTCAGACTGCAAGAAATATAAAGTGTGTACAAATTAATGGTTGTACATGCAAGTGTTTATGTATCAAAATGTGGTGCATGGACATGCATATTTACATACATGTATGCTCACTACATGGGGCACAAGCAAAAAGGTTGTCATCATTTAGCTGTAGGTACAACTTTTCTCTAAGAATTGTATCTATCGAGCTACCGTGTATACAGTACTAGGAAAGGTCTATTCCATTATCTCACTCTTTGCACTTTGCTTAATTTTCTATGTACACAATAGTATAGTGTACTCTATTACTCCCTCCGTTCTAATTTATGTAAACCTGTTTGACTAGGCACGTAGTTTAAGAAAAAATGAAAACTTTTGAAATTTGTAGTCCTAAACAAGTTAAAGAGGGGCCAGAGTATTTGTGTGGTTATAAAAGCTTCTCATTAAGGGTAGAATCGTAAGTTTAAGCTAAATTGTTTCCAAATTTAGAAAGGGGTCATTCTTTTTGGAACATACCAAAAAGGAAATAGGTTCACTGAAACAGAGGGAGTATGTATTTTTGTGCAACAGAACTTGAGTCTATACATACGTTATACTTACTGGTCGTATCACAGTATCGTTAATATGACCATATCGTTCTATTTTGAGTTGCAAAAAAGAATAAATTGTTTTTTCAATAAAAAATCTACTGTATGCCAACTACTGTTGTATAATGGTCATGGTTTACATTTTAATGCTACATTGCATCATTTGTCTATCTTGCAGATGTATCGGACGGTTAAAACTACCGATAGAGTAGCAGTTCCAGCTTCTTCAGGTTTATATATCCATCATAATATGATTAATTTGTTATTCCGAGGTCTTTTATAGAAAATAACCTAAGTAGTGTAATACCAATTCTTTTTTTTTGTTTGTTTTAAAGCATATTGAAATTGTTGTCACATTTTGTTCTCGGAATGTGTTAGGCCAATCGGAGGTATTCGATAATGGGTCTTCTGGGGATACTTCAGAGGATTTAATCCCTGACATTGAAAATTCAAGGAAGTCTGATTTATCTGACCAACAAGCCAAAAATAACAATATGCATCTCCAAGATAAAGATTACCATGGTCTTTGGAGCAACTCTTCAAGGTGCACATTTTATATCCTACTCATAAAGATTTTATGCTCTTTTTTCATTTATGATAAAATGATTGACGGTGTAAATAATCTTTTATATTATCGGTGTAACTTAACATGTTATAGAAAATTCTTGAACTTTAAAAGGAAAAGAATGAAGAGAAAATTTAGAACCCCACGTATCACGTGAAAACTCTTTGTACTCCTCCTAAAGGTAACAAATCAGACAAAAGTAGTGTCCACTAGGCCATAAAACTTGTTTATTAATTACTACTAGGCTGGGGAACCATATTAAGAGGAAGAAACAGTCAAAATGTGAGGTCTGAAACAAGATAAAAATTATACCACGCAATTGAAAACTTTTGTGTTGAATTCATAAAAAAGGTTTAAATCTTTAGTAGAATTAATATCATAGCCAGGACTTAGAGATGAGATTCTCATTCTAAGCCTAAGCCAGAGCATCTCAAAAAGTTGCATATGTATAAAAGATCAAAAAAAGAGAAGAGTAAGGAATAATAATATAGCTATGATCCATATGTCGAGAACCTCTTTTGGATGAAACTACGTGCGGTAAAGACGAAGAAAATGGGAAAAATTTCAAAGATTTTTGAAAATTTTAGAATAGGATTATATACCAAATGGCAAATCATTCTAGGAATGAGCATATCTTTTTCTTTTGGATTTCGTGGGCTCAGATAACTAAGGCTGTTTGAAAAAGGACCTACCTCTAAACTTAGTGTCAAAGTTAAATTCTATAGCTAGCTAGTAGTAAGAAAATGGCCCCATATGTTGAAAGCTTTGGTGCCAATTTAAAGGCAAATTAAAGGTCTAAGGCTATTTTTGAAATTTCTTTGAAGGTTGGTTTTGATTCTAGTAGTTAATGTGACTTTCACATGTGTAGAGTGTGGTGGCAAACTTTTATGAACTATACGCAAAAAGGGAATATCGTAAGTGAAGAAAGCAAGAAAAAAGAAAAAGATAAGAAGCTTTAAATAAGTCTGTAAAAAGATGGCTTTAATTTCATATTCCTCAGTTTGCTTTTTCTTCTTCTGCATGCATGGCTTCCACTGATGGAAAATATTCTTTTCAATTGCTATGTTTTTTTGTAGCAGAGAAAGTTGGCAGTTGCATGGAAAACTTGGAGACTATCCGGGCAACATTCCATCTCTTGAGGTACTATATGCAATATCTCTGAAAATTTAGTTGCTTATAAAGGAATTTTTAAGCTATCATATAACTGTCCATAATAAGTGGAACTATTTATTTAGAAATGTTAAATTATAATGATAGTGAATGTATATAAGTTAAATCCGTATAGCAATGCGGATAGACTTATGTTTTCATCATGGATTATAACATTAAGTAGTCAAAGTTGAATGAGATAGAAATGATTTCAAGCTTTTTACAAAAGATAAGGCAGCTCATATTCAAAAGACATAGGAAACTAAAGTCAAGAAATCCTTCCTAAAAAGTTGTATTTTTATTAATTTCCCTATAATGACTTAAGTAAGAATGGCTATAATCAAGAATGCAGTGCTATAATTATATTAGTTCTTATAATCCCCCTAGTCAATTTAATTTGTTCATCCTTTATTCAGATAGATTTACAATATGGTGTGTATACTTGTTGTTCTTCCTTACTAATTAATTCATTCTTTTGACCAAAAAAAAGAAATTACAGCATAAAGAGATGGAAGGAAAATGCTTAAGCTATGATAGAATATCAGGAGAGGTGAGCTCATCAAGCATAACAGAGACAAGTCCAAAAAAGAAGCCTAATCTGGAGTTTACTTTGGGAAGACCTTCACAGTAAAAAGAAATCTTCTCTGCTCATAAGTTAGTATGTACTACTCATTTTGAAATCATTATAATCTCTGACAAGGGAGCTTAGCTACTAGCTAGCTAGCTAGCTGGTTTAAAGAAAAAGTAAAGAGAATCAGGTATCCACAAAAACCAGAGAAAAGCAAAGGAAAAGAGAGCTAAAGAAAGACAAGGAGACAAGAAAGACAGGAAGAAGGAAAAGGAGAAGGGTGTGACCTCTGAATCAAACAATATGTTATTTTATTCCCTTTCTAGAGATAGAGAAGAATATGAAATCTCATTGATTTTGTGTATTATTAGACTAGTCATTAGAGGGAGATCAATGATAGAAGAGGCTTTTTTCCCTCTCTTTTTGTAACTAGTTTCTAGGAAGTGCTCTTTTACCCTGGTAATTTTTATGACGTTCTTAAAGAAATATATAAATATTTGGGATCACTCCCCATATATTTTGACAAAAATACTCATGATATTCACTATTTGCACCATATATATTACTTTCCCATGATTAGTACTCCCTCTGTACCAATTTATGTGTCGAAGCTTGAATTTCGAGCGTCAAACTTGTTTCACTGTGAATTAGGACATAGAATCTTTAAATTTTTTGAAACAAATTTATATATCTAAAAACTACATAGGCAAACCTATAGGTCCTTAGTAGCGTTGACAAAGAAGAAGGAACCGGTTAAAAGAAAGCGAATCTTTTCATTTTTCTTATAATTATGTAATAATATAAAATAGAAAGAAATTAAAAAGTATTATAAGTGTCACGATCCGGATTTCTCATTGTCGGAACCGTGATGGCGCCTAACTTTTCAGATGCTAGGCAAGCTAACAGTTAAAGATTTAATACGCTAACCCTTAACCAATTCAGTAAATAACACCAATTAGACCAAAACAGATTAAAGGAGTGTAGAATTTCATAATAAACCAAGTACTTATACACACTACCTAGAATCTGGTGTCACAATTCACGAACTTCTAAGAGTCACTAAAAATACTGGCTGAAAGAAAGTACATTGTTTTCGAATTAAAAAAATAGTAAACTGAAATAACTGGAAGGGGAGGATTGAAGGCAGCAGCTCAACTCGGGTCAACACGGTCCAATACCAAAATCTGCACAGAATGTGCAGATGTGCAGTATCAGTACAACCGACCTCATATACTGGTATGTGCCTAGCCTAACCTCGGCGAAGTAGTGATGAGTCTAGGACAAGACGCATACATAAACCTGTGCAGGTAAACAATATACTAGCATAATAACAACTAATAGAAGCTAAGCAGAAATTAACGGGAGGGGAAGCATGCTAAGGGGTTTGCAAGATAAAGAATCACAGCAATAGAGGAATTTAAACAGCTAGTACACCTTGAACCGGTAATGACAAGAAAACACAGCAAACGGAAAAGCACGGCATCACCCTTCATGTTTTTACTCTCAACCTCACCAGATAATCAATAATAGAAACGTACACGGCATCACCCTTCGTGCTTTATCACTCAACCTCACCATATAAATAATAGAAACGTGCACGGCATCACCCTTCATGCTTTATCATTCAACCTCACCATGTAAATAATAGAAACGTGCACGGCATTACCCTTCGTGCTTTACCATTCTACCTCACCAAAATAAGAGACAACAATAATAGGGAGATAGAAATGACAACAAGTCTTACTTCAACACTTAGTTCCACAATACCAATCTCAACTTTGAGTAAATGCTCAATCAATACCAAATTCAATAAAGCATGATAAGAAATTGCCCAACACATCGGATACCTAGTCTAAACATGAACAATATGATAAAAAAATACGACATCTACAAGAATAAAACTCACTCACATGCTATGACTCGACAACAACGTATAGGTACTCATCACCTCACTATATGTTGTACTCAACATCCAAACACATAACAAGAAAGAAAATAACACCTAATCCCTCAAGCTAAGGTTAGCCACGACACTTACCTCGCTCCCACGGCCAAACTCAAAGCTCAAACACCATTTTTCCCTTCACACAAGCCTCCGAACCAATAGAATCTAGAAAATTACCAGCCAAACAATTCAATTTAAGCCTTAGGAACTACCCACGATTGCAAGGAATTCAATTTACGCCATTTTTGAAAAAATCAACAAAAGTCAACACCCGGGCCCGCTTGGTCCGAACCCGAAATTCAGACCAAAACTCGATTATCCATTCACCCCCGAGCCCGGATATATACTTGGTTTTGGAATCCAACCTCAACTTGAGGTCTAAATCCCCAAATTTCGAAATCCCTAGTTTCTACCCTAAAATCCCCAATTCCACCATGAAAATCTTAAATTCTAGGTTGAAATCTTATAAAATGAAGTGAAAGATTGAAAGAAACGAGTTAAGAATCACTTACCTATGATTTGGGGAAGAAATGATCTTTGGAAAATCGCCTACAGGGTTTCTTGTTTTGAAAATTTGAGGAATAATTGAAAAATTCCATCTAAGTCCCTTTTATACAGCTGCAGATATCGCATTTGCGACCAGAGCTTCGCAATTGCGAGAAAGGTATCGCAAATGCGAACCTGTCGCATTTCTGCTTCTGTCGCAAATGCGAACATATTGTTCGCAAATGCGGAGCTTGGATCGCAATTGCGACCACCTTCTTCGCAAATGTAAAGCACCCCTTCCCCAGACCAACTTCGCAAATGCGAAGAATTATTCGCATTTGCGAACATAGGCTGGCCCAGCTTCTCTTCGCATTTGCAATAAGAAGCTCGCAAATGCGACATCAACAGTAGTCGCAAATGCGAAGCTTGACCTCGCATTTGCGAGGTCTGAGGCCTGCAACATAGCTAAAGAACACCAGTAATTTTTCTAAGTATCAAATTACTCCATAGCCTATCCGAAACTCACCCGAGCACTCGGGGCCCGAGCCCTCGGGGTTCCAAACCAAACATGCACACAAGTCTTAAAATATCATACGAACTTGCTCGCGCGATCACATCGCCAATAACACCTAGAACTACGACTTTAGCACCAAATCAAATGAAATTCTTAGGAACACTATGAAATTTTTATTTTTCTTAAAAGGACGTACGAATCACGTTAAATCAGTTCCGTTTCTCACCAAATTTTACAGATAAGGTACAAATATTATTTTGGACCTGTATCGGGCTCCGGAACCAAAATACGGGCCTGATACTAACAAGATCAAACATTAACCAAATTCTTAAAACCATTTGATTTTCAGTCTTACAATTTTCATCAAAAATTCATTTCTCGGACTAGGGACCTCGGAATACGATTCTGGGCATACGCCTAGGTCCCATATTTCGATACGGACCCACCGGCAATGTCATAACATGAGTCGGGGTCCGTTTACTCAAAATGTTTACCGCAGTCAACTAGATTAACTTTAAAGGTAAAAATTATTATTTTTCTCAAATTTCCACATAAAGACTTTCCGGAAACGCGCTTGGATTGTACACGCAAATCGAGCAGGAATAAAATGAGGTTTTGAAAGCCTCGGAACACGGAATCGAGTTCTAAAACATAAGATGACATTTTGCGTCATCACAATAAGTCACAATAGTTAATAATTTAAAATATCAAAAAGAAGTAAAAAAATTGTAATTAAAGAAAACTCGTTTGACTCTCAAAATCCGAACTCCGCCAAAATAAATTGGAACGGATGGAATAATAATTTTGAGGTACAATTTGTATTAATTATTTATGATTAAGTGATACTTTACGAAAAAGTCAGATCATGTATGTATTATGTTAGTGTAAATACAAGTAAGTAATAGATTTTTCCATTTATTCCTAACCAATGTCACATGCTTTACACTATCACAACAAAGGAAAAAGTAGGAAAAAGGGAAGGAAAAGATAAGAGGAATTTACTGGTAAAGGAGCTGAAAAATGTATGACTTAAGAAATGAAAAATAACAAAAAGAAAAGGACAAGATGAAAAGAAGAAAAGGATGTTACCATATTCCCTTTTTATGCTCATTATGTGAATAACTTTTCCTTTATCACTATCTTGCAACTATAGGTACTTCATTCAAAATTCTTTACTAGTCCCAATATTCTCCTCACCTTCCTATCAGCGGCCCCCCATCCAAAAGATAAAAAAGAACAAAGGAACTGACAATACCTATGGTAAAGAATATATGAGTTTGCTTTTGGAGATAATTTAATTGATTCTAAAGGGGGGAAATTATAGAAAACTATAGGTTAAAATTAAAACTCTAACTTCTCATTAACTGATATAATTAAGTAATTAAATCCTCTACAATTATATCTTGAATACGCCTTTTTACATGAGGGCTTGATTTTTCTTATGAGTTAAGCACGTGATTTTTTTTAATAATGAGTGCTGGTGAAACTCAATTGTAGGCAGTGGCGAAGATAAATTTCCTCAAGAGTCTTTAAACTTAAAAGAAATAAAAAAAATTCTGACAAAGGGTGTTCAATATATTTAATGTACCTCTAAAATTCGATATTTTATCTATATGCACAGTATAATTTTCAGCCAAAGGGTGGTCAATCGACCACCCTTACAAAAGTGTAGTTTCGCCTCTGATTGTAGGACATATGCTTTTTCTAATATTATATTAAAATATGTGACATTTCATCTTAAACTTATTCGGTTAGAAAGAGCAAACTTTTAAAGACTTAATTATATCTTTAATAGATTGGATGCTAAAAATTTCAACTTGAAGGGAGTTCCTAACATATATAATTTTTTAGAAGCGACAATCTAAGGGGTCGTTTGGTATGAGGTATAAGAAGATATAGTGCTGGTATAAAAATTTAATACCATCTTAATACTTTGTTTGGTTAGCAAACCTGGTATAAGTTATCTCGGGATTAAAATTAGTACCGAGATAACTTATACCTTGTAGAGGGTGGGGTAATTAGAAATTATGCAATTGTCATTTTTAATGCAACATACCAAACATTGGATAAAAAACAATACCAGAATAATTAATCCCAGCATAACTTATCGCGGCACAAGCCGTATTCAGACCAAACGACCCCTAAGCAGTGAACTAAAACCTCCAAATCATACTAGCTAGGTCTCCTAGTACAACATACTAATTGCAACCGTTCAAACCAAGAGTCGATGGAGATAGGTTCTCGAACTTGTCTTTCTTTTAGGTCAACATTGTTTAGGCAAAAACGTAAACTTGTGAAAATATGATATTGGACCGCCTGCTGTCAAGACTTAGCCATTAATTGATAGACAAGCTGTAAATTTTCCTTGATTTATTCTTAAACTAATAGACAAAAGATAAAGTTGGCAGAAACTGATGTGGGGTTTTACATAGAGAATTGTTTTTGTTACCGATGGGTTTAGGGTCACTA